AGACCAAAGCCTCCTTAAAAGGCTTCAGAGACACCCCCTCCCACAAGGATGAATTGACCATTGCCAGTACCCCCCCTAAAGTCACCTCTTTGGTGGCTTTAAGCAACCAGGAGGGACAAGGATCTAAAATACAGGTAGCCGTGCTAACAGCCCTGAGGACCCTGTCCACTTCCTCAGGGCCAACAGGATGAAACTGTTCCTGGGTGAGACCCCTCCCCGGGCATCTCCACTGAACCTGCCTCATGCTTGGCCTCCAACTGAGAATGGATCTGAGTGATTTTATCCATCATGTATTCACCAAATTCCTCTGCAAGGCCCTGTAGATAGTCCTCTGAGCCCTCCCTACCCAGGAGGGACCAAGTGACACTGAACAGGGCTGCTGGGTGACACTCTGAGGATGCAATAAGAGTGGAGAAATACTGGTGTTGTACCTCTGCAGGGTGTTGTACCTCTGTGGGGTGAAGTACTGGGGATAGCAAACTTTATATCAGTTTTCTGCCAGTTCAAGGACTGATGGAAGGTACTTTAATCTGGCCATGAGGAATTGCTCTGCATCTGCCTATAAACTCCATATCACACTACCTATAGATCTCTTTCACATCTAATGTGAGCCTTCATCTTGCTTCCATTATGCAAACCTTCTTCTCTTTTTCCTACACATTAGTATAACTCCGCAAATTTTTGTTTAAGTACTGAAATTTATTTTGGCCACCATGCTCTGGTGGCTTTACCTGTGGGAGAAAAAAAAAAGCCAGATTGATAGATTTGGAGACATATTCACCAGCCATACAGGTTGTCTTTTCTCAATTTCCACCAACAAGGACCCAGAGATCAAGAGCTACAAAAGGAAAGAAAAACAAACAGCAAGTATAAGGGTGAGTCACTTTTTCATTGTGGAACCAGAGCTCCTAGAATCAGGCTGTTTCTCCTAGACATTTATTAATTAACTAATTTACATCCCTCTTCCTTACTCAGGCACTAAGTGTTTAAGGCAACTAAAAAAAGAGAGAAAAAGCCTATTCCAGTTTTCCTTATGGGTAGGTCAGAGCATGCCAGTTGATTTGTGTGAAATGTGCTCAGAAACTTAAAAGTCCTCTCTGTGAAAGAAAGTCTCCCTTAACTTGATGTCTTCCGCTTGCATTGGATTTTAACTTCAGTGTTTTTCAACCAGCATTGAAATTATGGGAACTGAATTTTAACATATTTGGAAAGCACCAAGTTGGAAAAAATTGTATAAGGAAAAGTTTGGGCTAAACAAACCTATTGTCTAGTTGGTGGGTTCTAGATCTCTCCCTGATTCTGAAACCACAGAGACCCCACAGAAGCTTCTATGGACTGAAGATGGGTAAACTTCTATGCCTCTCAAAAGGTTTGCTTACCAGGATCCCAATCCATAAGTAAACGCCACTTTCAACAGTGATGGAGAAGGTTCGTTGAATTATTGTCAGGGTAATGCCAAAGCTCACCTCTGTAATTCCCCAAAGAATCTGTATGACCTGAAGGAAAAAAGAAAGAGTGTCTGATTAATGTCTTTAGATGTCTATAGTATCAACATTACCAACTAACAAACCCAGGAAGTATTTTGTACTATCTGATCCTAAATGTGTCAAAAGTTTTAATGAGAAATTCCCTACAAAATCAGGTTTTTCTGTATTAGAAGGAGTTTGTTGGACAAGCGAGCAATACAGAAAAAAGAGAAGGTGACAACCACACCCACATTTATAAATAAAACCAGTACCCTCATTTTAACTAAACCAGTTACCGATTAACTCCTTTTTAGGATTTTAGCAAAGTTAAAGTTTTTGGGATTGCAAGATTATTTGCAGGGGTTATAGCTGGAGAAAGAGACCATCCGGGCCCCTCCCTGTGCTGTCTCCTCCTCCTCCTTTTGCCTTTCTTTTTCCTTTTTAAACACAATCTTGTTTTTTAAAAGAAATACAGAGCTGACTTTGGGGAGGAAAGACCAAGCCATTATGAGGGAACTTGTAGAGAAGATGTACCATGCTGAGAAAGAGGAAAATATGAGGAAAAGAAAATCAAAATACCCCTACCTTGATTTTGTTTAGTATACGATGGGACAGGAAGGACAGATTTTTAGGATTTTGTTATTCTTGCTTACTACAAGAAAGAGCGTTCCTGGAATCTTGCCTGCCTGTTTCTTGAGAGGGGCTACCTCAAAGGACTGACAGCTTTATAGAATGTGGAGGTTAACTGAAAGCCAAAATGTTTAGGGACACTCCCTTACTCAAGGAAAGTGCTCACATCTGATGTCTGTAAATGTTCCATTTCTGCTCTACCCAGCAAACTGGAAATTATCTAGCAGCTAAACTTCCTAACAACTTTTGGAACAATAAAGGCAAAGTGTAGTTTTCATCAGTTGTTACAACATATAAATGAGAGAAGATAGGATAAGCTTTTCTAAGAAATAAGTGTTGAATTTGATTTATTGATGTCCCTTAGCATGAAGTCAACTTACTAAATGCTTTAGGGATACCATATTAAAAAGCAGAAATTTGTCTCCATGCCCCTCCAAAAACAAAAATCTTTCTAAACCTAGAATTATTCTTATATATCTAATTACCAACAATTCAAATACAAGTAGTACAGTAATCCTTCAACAAAATATCTGCTAAAACCATATTGACACAAAAATAGCTGTAACGTCTTTGGAGTATGAGGTCCTTATTAAGGGGTTATGCAAAAATGTAGGTGGTAATGGGAGTTCTTTGGGGGTGGGGCTAATAGCAGTCCAGGTAGTAAGTTCTATTAGGATAGAACTAGGGAATGGGGAGAGGAAGGATTAAACCATGTTCTCCCTCTGCATAAGGAACTCCCAATGAAAATTTGGTTCATAGTCAGCCTTTGGGATGCTACCATAATCACTTAAATATAAAAGAGTCTGTGACACTAGTTATACTTCCATTTGATAACAAGTCTTTCTTGTACAGTGTTGAGGATCTGGGTTGTCTCATACAAAGAAACACAGAGGCCTTCACAGAATTTGGGCTTAGTTGGACAAATCTAGAGGGCCTTACCCCAAGCACCTTGAACAGAGTATTCTTGGTATTTTTGTTAAGGGTTGGTATGAACTGAGATGCCCCAGAAGTAGATTCAACCACTCTGACTGCAGCTGCCTGGGTTGACAGGGAGCCTGTCTGTGGGATTACTTGTGTGACGATCCTTACATTTCCATGCTCTGTCACAGTGCTGGCCATACCTAAAGAAAACAAACATGCATAATTAGCAAGAGACAAACTGAATCTGTTCCAGTTTATTGGAATCCTGGTGCCCGCAACTGGACACGATATTTGAAATTAACCTGACCAATTAAAAAATAGTGGAATTAATTGTTCCCCATTATTTTTCAAACATCATACTCCTGACTCAGATTCAGATTCCAATCAACTAGTATTCCAAGAAATTTTTCACAAATACTATTACCAAATCTAATTCACCCATCCAACATCTGTTCATTTGATTTCTGTTTCCTAGGTGTAGAACTTCAGTCTCAATTAAATGTCATTCTTTTATTTTCAGCCCATTTCTCTAACCTATCTAGATCATTTTCAGTTTTGTTTTTTCATTTAGGATATTAGTTTTTGTATCATTTACAAATTTGGTAAGCATTTCTGCTACCTATTCATCAAAGTCATTAATAAAGTGGGGACAAGTGGTAGGTGCAGAACTGAATTAACTGGCACCCAACTTGATAAATCACTTCAGCTTTGAGAAGGCAATGTCTTCCTTCTCAGGTTGGCACCAAGTGTCTACCTAAAGGAGAAGCACCAGCTTTTCTGCTCCATTAAACCACAGTAGCAAGTTCTGAAGCTGACCACAAGCTGATTACTTTTAAGAGTGATATTGGATTCACAATGTGGTTTGTTTAACCCTTATTGAATAAGCTGTAATTTGGTGGGCTCAGACAACACGCTAAGCTCAAACTAAACAATTTGCATTTTGGCTTAATGAAATGTATGAATCCAGCCTATATTTAAGGTGCTTCCAGTCAAACGTTTTATTGTGCAATTTCTTACAGCATTCATAGGAATTCAGAGGGTTTTCACATTTCATTATTTTCCATGTATAACTGACCTATGTCTGTCATATAATCATTGAGAAGCCCTCCATCTGGAAGTATTTTAGCAGTTAAGAGAACTACAATGTGTTTCCTCATCCTCTCATTAATGATAAAGCAAAACAAGTTTTTAGAAAGAATACTATCTATCCCTGCTTCTTTAGGAGTTGATTTCACCATGTCCACAGACATTTGATGTTTCAGAATACAGAATACTTTAATGGCCAAGTATAAAATATATACAAGGAATTTGATGATGAACAGCAAGAGCAACAGTGCGTTTGGATAGCAGCAAAAAAAGGAATGATAGTAAACAGTAAC